ATTTTATTATTTTTTTCCTTCTTTTTTATTTTAACAGTTAAAGCAAGACAAGCTTTATATTTTGTTAGTGCACCATTTGGGACCTTCTGATGGAAGCAGAAATCATGGCCTGAATTCCTTGAGCATTACGTTTTCACTTATCATTTAAAAGCCAAAGTCTCACAAAGGATATGTTTGTTTTGTTTAGAGTGATTTGATGCGTCCCATTGAGAGCGGATGATCTTACTGTGAACAAAGTTGCTTTAATGTTCCAAGTTGTGCAGAACAGGGTTCGTGTGCAGCCATTGCCAATATCTTTAGGAATAGTTTGTGTTTTGAAGCAGTTTTTCAGCCACTAAAATCTCTTCTTCTTCGGTGATTTACATTTTTGGTAACGCTACATATTAAAACAACTGTATATAAACCGCTCGAAATTTCACTCCAAGCTCAGATCAAAACTTGAGAGCCCTGTTTTCAAAAAGGAGCTGATTTAGAGGCCTGAAAAAAAACATAAATCAGGCCCTTGGCTAGTCATTAGCATAGCCTAAAGGAAGACGTTTACACTCTTCTTTTACACTCCATGACTGATGTCATTACTAATGATAACTGACAGAACATCACTTCAAAATGTGTTGTTCCTTCAGGATATTTTCATTTTAAACTGCACTACATTCACACTCTTTTTGCCATATTAATAATAATGATGGGGATAAAMCTTCTTGTCTTTCAGACCGACAATGGCTGACAGATGTCCAAAAGATCCAGAAGTTGCAGGAGAAAGTTTATATGGGTCTGCAGCACTGCCTGCAGAAAGAGGGAGCGTCAGAGGAGAAGCTAACAAAGGTAACTTTGTCGAATATTACCCTAATATTAAGTTTAAACGCTTCATAAATAGAACATTTCTCATTTTATTTGTCCTCCCTTTTTGAACTTTTTTCCTAGATGGTGTCCAAGCTTCCCTTAATGAGGTCCATCTGCAACCTTCACATTGACAAACTGGAGTTTTTCCGTCTGGTTCACCCTGAAACGGCGTACACTTTTCCTCCGTTGTACCGAGAGGTTTTCGGCAGTGAAATCTCTTTCCCGGACTCCACAGAGGGCTAATTTAGCCATCTAGTTCGATGGCACGACTAAAGTAGTGACACTGAGGTGTATCTAGAGGAAGATAACAAGAAGAAAAAAAATGTGGCAGCCCTTTGAGGTAAAAACCAACCAATAACCCAATGACAATCTTGCACGTTCCACACTCTCCTCCCACCTCTGCGGCCCAAAACCCCCACGTGGAAGTTGCGTTCACTGCCCTGCGAGCCAACCTTTAAACTTCCCACAGCAGGGACTGCTGCTGGGACATCATTGCGTTTTACCTCGTTTTTAAAGAAAAGCGTGGTCTGAGTTGTTTACTCTCTCCGATATTTTTCTACGAGACTCTCCAGAAACTGCTCAGCAAATTCAAATCCTTTCTAATTGATGGTTCTCACAGCTCCTGTAAGAGATTGTTGAATGTATTCCCCTCTTCCYGTAACCATCCAGTGCAGCCCACGGGTTGAAACAGAATGTATGGCAGAAAGTCCTCACCTACTTTGGGCGGTTTTGCTGTAACGATGTCCATTTTAGGTTTCAGGTCTGCAAACAATGGACATTGTTTTTGGTAGATTGCAGTTTTGGGGCAGGATCAAACTGTTTTAAGGGACCATGAGCAAAGATAAAACCTAAAACACGGCACTTACATAGTTTAAACAGCACACTCTTAGATACTGGTGGAAGTGAAGCGTGAGTTTTCTAACTTTTTTGTTTTTATTGCAGTCTGTGACCTCAGTCCAAATACCTTTTCCCTTCGCAAATGCCACTTAGAAAGTGTGAAGACAATACAAATCTTTATATATGTATATAAACTGTATAAAATCAGAGCAGGGTTGAGCTCAGGTCATCCACGTTACGAGGTTCTGAGATTTGAAAAGAATGTAGCAGTAACAACAGAAACGTGTTTAATTAGCACTTAGAAGTCAGGATCCAAAACAAACCCTTGTTGAAGGATTTTTCTTTTTCCCTTTTTTTTTTATTGAGTTTCAAACTCAAGCGTCTTTGAAAGCTGACTTCCTGTAAAAGAGCCGCGAGGAAGGCGCCTCTTTGCACAAATGTTTCATCAGCCTGAAGCTCCTGCGTGATTTAAAGACACACGTSTGAAAGACTTGTGAAGAAACACAGATGATGAAGTGTTCAGGTTGGGATGAAGGACCTTAGATCGGAGAAGAAAGGGTGCGTGGTGGTGTTCTTTCAGCTCCCATGGCTACATGAGATTTTATCCTCGGCTCTTGCTGCTCTGGGCTTTTATGTGTTCTGATTGAAGGAGGATACCCTCGATACCTGACTTCCTCTCCTTCCCTCCCCCTCCCTTACTACCTCAACCTCTCCAAACACTAGATGGCAAAAAGCTTGACGGAGTTATCAGCTACCCCCCTGAATTTATACCTTCGAATTCACACCAGAGGGCCTCTTCAAAAACCACTAGAGCAGGGGTCCGCAACCTGCGGCTCTTTGAAGCTTTGTCCAAAACTTAACATGAGATYAAACTTATTACATTTTTATACCCACAACAGAAAAGGGTAGATTTAGCCGTTTTCTTGCCAGTTTGTTTGCAAATATGTAATGGATACTACTAATATAGGGATTGAAATTGATTGATTAGATCTGGGGTTCCCAAACCTTTCCATGCCATGGCCCCCCCAAACAGCATTAGCTTCTGGCCTGGGACCCCATTTAGAAACCCACAAACAATGCTACAAAATATGTACTGTCATAAAACTGAAATAATATTTGAATATGTTACTATAAMGTATGCTTTAAAATGATTACTGAAAACCAAATTTGATTTTCTGATAATGTTTTAAAACATATAGTACAATTCCATTTTTTTTTCTTTATTTAAATATTTTCTCCAGCGCCCCCTAGTGGCCTTTATTTTGAAAAACACTGGATTAGATCATTCTAGTAGTTTGGTGGCCACTTCACTTAAGTCGAATAAACTTTTTCTCAAATCCATCAAGATTTGTTTTTTTTAAATACCTTTAAGACAAGAAGCTGGAAAGAAATATGGTGAGTTATGGAAATAACAATAAGAGCTAGAAAAATATTCCTGYATAGTTCAGGGTTTTAGTTTTAATTAAATTGGGTATTTCTTGTATAGATAAATATGATGTTTTCTTTTATCCTAAAGTGAAATAATAACACTAATAAATATTAAAATTCACTAAATATTTTTAGTTTTATAAGGCCCCCTTGCAACAAACTCAAAGTGGCCCACAGGCCACCAGTTGATAATCACAGATGTAGCATATTTTGCGGCTTGGCAGAAACGTCTCTTTTGATTGTAAATGTTGCAGACCCCCTGCTCTAGAGGCACCTTTTATAGCCAGCGACAACTACAGGCAATAATTAAGAAAACAACAACAAAGTGAAACACTGGATCTTCTCTTCTTGTTGTTCAGTCTTTTCAGCGCACTTTATGCCTTTAGGTCCAGGAAAGGCCTGGATATTTTTTTACAGATCTATATCTAAGTCTCTGGAGATGGCTGAGGGCGTGTCCAGGTGACATCTTGTTATTCCAGGGAGGCAGATGTATCTGGTTTCTGTAAAACGATGCGTCGTATTCTCCCAGTTTACCAGCAATGAAACAAGGCCAGGTGAAAAAAAAAACAACAACTGTTACTTTTATCCTAAGCATTTTGAGACAATCACACGACAGATCCTGGATGTCAGTCTAAGTAAATGTTTTCAGCCGGGTTTGCTTTAATGAAGGGACTCTTACCCTGGACGTGGTACTTAAAGATAATGGCATTGTGGGATTGTGCAATAATGTCTTTCCCATTGTTTTCAGTATGTTGGGCCTTAGCTGCAATGTTCATGTTTCCAGTAGCACTCCAGCGTTAATCCCAACACAAGATAAAACACAAGATACAAGATAAAAACACAAGATAAAAAATACTTAATTATAAGGTTTGCAGATCAGATGACAAAATAATAAAGTTTATTTGTTTATTTTTTGTTTGTTTTGGGGGGTTTAAGCCTGTGAATGTGCTAATTTCCCAAGATTTCTGTAAATCCTGACTATTTTTTTTAGATGTAATCCGTTGTGCAGGATTATAATCTGCATTTAGAGTCACTCAGGGAGATAGCTGGGCGCTCTGCAGTCAGTCGAGCTCCACCAACATGAAGACCTTTAAACCTTGATCACTGTGTACAGTATGTTGTCCTGAATGTCTGATTACGGAAGTATCAAAGCTTTTACCCTGTTTGATGTTACTATTGCTTTTTTTTGTTTAAGTCATAGATTTAATATGATTAAAAAATAGAAAAGATAAAATCTAATCTCTAAATTATATGTTGGTTTTGTTGTGATCTTTTGTTGCTTTATTTTTATCCTGTTCTCCTGTTATACTGTCCTTCCCCACCCCTCCTCTCGTCAGTTTAGTGTCCTTTTTGTCTCAGAGAGATGTAATTCTATTTTTTTAAAGAGCATTTTTAAAAGATAACTCCCCAGATCTTTGTCTTTCGTCATGATCCTTCTGTGTATGATCTTTTCACGTTATTTTAATACGATGTTGTTGAATCCAGATAGAGTTTAATATGAAATAATTTATGTTTTGCTTGTAAAGCCCGAGAGGTTTTAACACAGTGAAGTGTTATTGCACAATGGTGATACTGTATGTGGATTAAAGAATGTAATACATTTAAAAAAAAAGTCTTTTTACAAGTAAAATTAAAAACAATTGTGGCTTTACCCTCTCTTCTTTTGTCATTTTCTTCAAGCTAAAAAAGAAAAGCGGTATTTTGCTTAAACGATTTAGGCCAAGCAAGACTCTGAAGGCAGCTGCATATTTCTTCTTTTTATTACACTAAGTGTTTGAAACATTTTATCACCCACTGAAGACAAGAAGCAATAATGCTTTGGTCTGTGTAAAATAACTCATCAACCTCTGGATGTATTTAAACTCCTCTTAGAAAATAAACAGTGGATGAGTCACTTTTGGAGTCAACCCAGTTCAAGATGGTCATTGCAGTTCAACACCCTGCATGACCTTAAACATGTTGCATGTCARCTCAGCTGGGATGTGATGTTTGATTGCATTTTTAGTCAAAGCAGGAACACAAGCAGGGCCTTAAAACTAGTTGGATATCACCACCAAATGTTCAGGGAAAATCTGTGCAGGCATTTTTATGCTGAAAATAATTCAGCTTCTGCAATTAAACATAATGGGCCTCATGCAAGAACATGTTCGTTTTCTTCTCCTAAATTTCTCTTACTTTTGTTCGTACAAAGGGTTCGTACGAACATGTCACGTCAGATTCAACAAACACTTCTACCTTCAGGAAACGTGCGTAAATGAGCTGCGTAATTTACACCTTTTCTATCCAGCTGCTCGTGCACGCGAGAGGAGATTAGTATAATTACCACCCCAAAAACACCATTTAAGGCTGTGTTTCCTGCCTCAGAGACAAGGAAGTGTCCATTCATTCATGAGAAATGACAGCGAAAATTATAAAGAAGGAGAAGTTTACGAGTTCAGAGATTGAAGTCCGTCTGTCAGAGATCCAGAAAAGAAAATCTGTAATTTTTAGCAGCTCAGCTGTGGATTAAAAAAGAGCTGCTAAAAGTATAAACAACTGTGTTAAATCATTTTCATTTATTCTGAAGCCGCAGAGAGAGTGAGGCTTGAATAATAAAAGTGATTTGTTTATTTAC